TCCGTCAAATGGGAGGAGCCTAAAAACATGGCGCCGATTAGGGAAAATTTATCGTAGTTCCTATAGTGTACCGTGCAATTTCCAAGTTTTTAAATTACGATAAAATGATAAGTATTGACACAATATGTGATTGGGCTGACACAAAGCCTCGGAAAGGAAGTTTTGTTGAAGAGGAGCGTGTTTTTAATCAAATTCCGTCTACTTTTTACAAACTTCGGATTTAAAAAGCGATTCACATTATATAATTGGTGAGGTGATTCTGGGGGATTTAAGTAATATCATATCAATGACTTGCACGTGCAAAGCCAATTTAAGAGAACGTTGCAAACACATTTGTTATATTGCAGCAGGCAGGTTCTTAACCTCAAAATACTTATATCGTATCATTAGAATTGTGTTAAATCAATTACACAGGAATAAATAATTTCTCACTTTATAATTTTAGTATGATTCTAGTTTTAAATATTAAGGTTATGGCTGATGGTAAATACTTGCTGAAATATAATCATGTGCATTAAAATGACGTGAACAAATTTTTATTCCGGAATTCACTTCTTTGATACCTACTGCTTTCATCCAAGCTTCTATTAGTTTACTTTTTTCTCTAATTTTCCGAATATATTTTTTACATATATAAAACGGTTAGTTTTTATTGGAAAGTAGTTAATGTAGGTGAAGAGTGAAGATCTATGTCTGAAGTGCTATTGCAGCTTTTCACTGAACATATTAACTTTTTATTTGATTTAACTTTAGAAGAAAACTTCGTCGACTCCATCATCAAAAAAATTTTTACTTTTTTAACGTGTTTTATTATTTTAATAAACAATTTTACAATTTGCGTGCACAGTTCCTACGTAAATTTTTTGCTCATTAGAATTATAAATTTTGCCGCCAGATGGTGTATGCCCATTTGACGGATCCCAATACTTTACATTTCTGAAGTGAATGCTTAGTTTTAATAGTGAATGTTTCCGTCAATCGTACAATGTAGCAAGGTTTACTACACTCTACTAGTGATAGACGCGGGACATAGGAAATTCTGTCCACAGCATCTTGAGCTTCGGTGTTCAACCCACTGTCCGCATTTAGGATGGACGTTCAGGGAATCGGGTTGATATCGGGATAGGTGCTTGGTATTAGTATCCTAGGCTAAGGAGACGCGAAAACTACATTGTCAGGTGTGTACTGGAAGCAGTCGCTTCTGAAGTCGGATTAGGTGCTTCGTATCGATACAGTCACCTAAGTGGGCTGGGATAACTGAACTTATATGAGTGTCAGATGTTAGGAGAAAATGACGCTCTCATGAACCCGTGATGACCTACCAATTCCGTCTGGAAGGAAGCAGCTTGTTCCTCACTGAAGGAGACTGAGGGGTCTCAGGCGAAAAATCTTCTTGTCCGTCTTTGGTTGGATTTGTGATGGTAGTGGTGTCCATCCTAAGGAAAAGAAGATACACCTCAGCGGGTGGGCGGCGTATAATCGGGTACTAAACCTGCTAAACCTAGTAGGGATTAGATAGGTCCTGACCGCACGGGTCTGCGATGTCTTTTTTATCTCCTGCATAAAACTAGTACCGGTTTCAATGCACCGATTGAGCGTTAGTGGTAGGTATTTCTTGTGTGACGTAAAATAACTTGTCTTCTTTTAATGTAACCCTGGGTAATTATGATCTAGAGGATAGCATCGATTCCGAATCTTACGTAACTGTTGATTAGGAAAAAATTTGCAGTAATGAAATAGTAAATAGCTATTGGAGATCCCGTGGCCTGCCGGTTACGCCCACCATGTACACGATTAACTTTCATTTTGTATTTTTGAGTTTAATATAAATCGTTTGTTTAAAATTTAGAAGAGTGTTTCGTTTCGATTTGTCACCAAACCTCCAACAATAGCTATTTCCAAAACGATTGAAAATTTAGCCAAAGATAAAACCCTTGCAGTATCCCTCCGAAGCCATCCAATCTTTGTGATGGTAACATCATCCAGAGTAGGTTTGGTTTTACGAGTTAAAAGCCACTGATAACACAAAACGTAAGTTTATTAATCGCGCAAACAATGAACAGAAGAAGAAACAAAAAGTAAAATGTCTTCAGCACAATTTTATAGGAAAGGAATGTTACCTTAATTTTTAATAAAAGGTGTTGACATTTCATCGGTTTCTCCCAGAAACAACTTCACAATATCCTGGTTGAGTGCTGAAAGACGGCGAACCTTCACTCAGACTCCCGTCTCTTTTATCTTCTTGGATATGTCATTGATCTAACATGGTGTACCTAAGCAGTATTTGTCTCAAATGTGTGTTATGCCTTTCTTAAATTTACACCTTTTCTTTTGCCACTAACATTTACTGATATAAGATTACTTAAGGTTTCAGAAAAGCTTCTATCTATATATCTGGATGAATATAACCAAACAACGCCATGGGATGCATTGAAGTACCTCATAGCAGATATAAATTATGGTGGCCACGTTTCTGATGATTGGGATAGAAGACTTCTTACCACTTACATCAACCAATATTTTTGTGAAGATGCTTTGAATGTTCCGTTTTATAGGTAGGTATATATCATCTTATCTTGATACTGATCGTATGTTATATAAATTTCATCTGGACTCTATCATTGGGAACTGACATGAAGGAGTAGCTTAATTAATCAGTGTCAGTTAACATAATAATTAAGTATTTTCTTTGAATGAAATGTTTAACTAAGCAGAGGTTCAAAGAATATTATTATTTTCATTTTAAGTTAATATTAAGTTGAATTTAAAACCTACAATTTTTGTCATATTCTTAAATATTCGGAGGTTAATTCCTTATTATTAACAAAAGATTAGTAAAAATTATGTCATTTATAACAACTTTTTAAATTTTCTCCTTTTTTAATCTTTTAATATACAAAAATAAAATTTATCGAATGTCTGCTGCTTTCACCATTTTCATTTTTTTTTTTGGGTTAGTATATATTCATTTTCTCGGCAACATGTAATTTCCTTCATTAAACTGTAGTAAGCAAACTCCTGTACTCAGTCATCTTTTAAATAAAAATCATGTTCCAGTGCTCTTAATTTGCCTAATTTTTCAAAATTTCTAAATAAATTTTTGATTTACACAATACCGTTATTAGTCATTAGGAAAGAACTAACAATTTTCAGTGTAATTCGATAATAATTATTTATTTTTATTTAATTTTATTCAAACGAATCTAATTTTATACTGGTTAGAATTTTAGTCGCTAGACGTCGTGACCAAAGTGACCAGTTCTCAATTGCAGTACCTATGTCGCCATCTACTGAACCTTCATTTGGTAATATCAATGTGAAAATTAATTTTCAATTTATTTTATCCACTACAAACTACCTCAGATCAATCAGGGAAAATTTGTTACTGTTATCACACCTTCGCCGGGAATCGAACCCGGGACCTTTGGCTTTACGCACCAATGCTTTGACTACTAAGCTACGAGAGATGACAACAGCAACAACGACAAACCATGCCTTTTAGGTCACAGATCCGTTGAACTAATATAATTATATATGCTACACATATATATATATATGAAACACTTTGACGTTTTTAATTTTTAATAGTGGTCAACAGGTCAGACCATTGGTGCGTAAAGCCCCGATTCGATTCCCGTCGAGGGTGTGACAATTGCAACAAATTTTCCTTCATTAACTTGAAACAGTTTGTAGTGAATAAAAAAAATTAAAATTAATTTTTACATTAATATTTCATATTAACCACTATTAAAAATGTGCTTCATTTAGTATCTGGAAATATCAGTAGATGGCGTCATACTAGCGTAACCCGATGTTACATGGAGAATTTTCGGTTTCGTTGATGATACGTATATCGAGAAATCGAGATAGTCAATAGCGTGCTAATTAAATCTAAAAGTTTCTATAAAATACTGACCAAGAACTTAGATAATCCGTTTTTACTTACTATTCTAATTTACTTTGTAATAAAATGTTTATATAGTTTTGTACTACTTAGATACCTATATTATTTTTTTTTCTTGAAGAAGAAGACACAATGGAAATTGTTAATAAAATTGATTCATGAATTTTTCTCGTTTCTTACCAGGCTGTCTTCTCTACCGACATATTATATTCCCAAGGATGGTTCCCTACAATCGTATCTCAACTACATAATTTTATTGCCAACCACAGATCGACCAGAAGCTTTTGGTCAAAACAGTAACGCAGATATTACTTCATTAATTAGTGAAACTAGAATGATGTGTGAAACATTAATGTCGTTGCAAATTAGTGGAGCTGCTGGAAGTGAAGGTTCAACAGAAGAAAAGGTAACAAGACTAACTATAAAAAATTATATCTACGTAATTGAAGAGAACATTTCATTTTATATATTAACTGATACATAACATACAAAACGTTATAGTTCCTTTATTAAGAAATTTCATATCAGAATTTCCATAAACTCAAATTCAATAACAGGAAGCACTTTACTCTAAATACTGTTAATTAATAAATTAATGTTTGGGACCTGCTTATGTATTTTATCTGCAGTTATATTCAATTGTAACTTCATTGTAGTTTACAAAGGCTGTTAATGGTTTGATTCACATTTCTACTAACCTGAAATTGTGATAATTAACGTTAAAATTTTGATTACTAAATTTAGGTAGCACAAATGGCAGCTGATATTTTATCGAAAGTTCCAAGCCCGATTAACTATGAAGACACTGAAAAACTAATGGGATATAATAAGACTCCATTAGATGTAGTACTACTACAAGAAATCTCAAGGTTTCTACTATATGTTAAATTGACGCTAGAAAATATATATTTATAAGTTTTCCATCTTTTTAAAGGTATAATATCCTGCTTAACGGTATGATAAAGTCTCTAGATGAACTTCAGAAAGGTATTAAAGGATTAGTCGTTATGTCGATGGAGTTGGAAGAAATATTTATTTGCATTGACGAAGGTCGCGTACCATCCTCTTGGATGAAAGGTACTAATTTTAAATTATTCAGGTTTTATACTTCAAATGCTCAAGAAGCTTTTAGAGTTTGCCACTTCACTCGTATTTTTGTTTTGTTTGCGTTTATAGCAGCCTCCTTTAAACAAGTAATGCATAATTTTTTCAATTTTGTTGCAAAAGTTGCTAGAGGTAGTCGCTCGATCTTATAAAGAAAAAATTTTGTCTTTATGACTTAACGTATTATTGGTTATCAGTTATCACAAATAACAAACTGCTAGAGTACAATTTTGCCTTTGGATTGAGAATGCAAAAGATCTTCAGACTTCAGATCCTAAAGTATTTGATAGAAAAGGTGTGTTAAGCTATCAGGGGACCTTACATGGTACAACTTTATCTTGTCTACTTCCACATAAAATTTTCCTAAAGTTTGTTTGTTAAGTGATAAGTGTACGTCTGAAAACATATTGATATTGTAGCTATAATGATAACGACTTCTCCTTATAAAGTTGCGGTGACTACAACAATAACTACACTCTAAGGCTAGACCATAGGATATAGATAAATAGAATGACCATAGATCAGATAGAATATGTATTACGTGCAAAATGTCAATGAATGATATTAAAGGACGTTCCCAAAAAAAATTTTTTTCTTACGATCATCTTTAAAATTTAATTGTAAATACCTGCCTGTATTCTGAACGCATACGAAAAATTTCCACCCATTTTGCGGTAATAACATTTAAAATATTGCCATTTTAAATTTCTATTTGAACGTATGTTAATTTATACATTTCATACTAATTCATGTAGGTTTTAGTGTCTAACAAGTTTAATTTTCTTACAATTTCTTTT